CTAAACTTATTTCTTAACATATTAACATGAAACTTATTGTAAACTACTCTAATACACTTATATTTAATTTAGGAATACAGTTTAAGGTTAGGAATAATTTATTAAGTATAGAGAGGAATAAAGTAAAATAGTTAATTTTACACACTTTAGCCTCCTCTTAGTAAAACAGAATAAACAATCTATTCACAAAAAATTAACTATGTAAATTAAGTATTAATGTATTCAACTAGAATAAACAGTTTTTCAAGCTTATATATTTAGTTTTGATTTAGAGAAAAAATAAAAATGAGTGTTATATAGAAAATTCACATTCTGTACTGTATCTTAATCAATTTTTACTTAATTTTCTCTATTTTTGTTAGAATATAAAATGTATTTTATATTAATAAATTTAGTAACTTAAATTATACAAAATAGTTGAGTATTAATTAAGTTATAGTGAATTTTACATTCTAACATATTTATTATAACAAATTATTATAAAACACATTAGTACTAAGTATTTTGAAAACAACTATAACTATCTACTATTTAGATAACTTGTATATATACTTTAACTACTATTATAAACAGGTTTAAAAGACTGATTCCTTACTAAAAATAGAAGGAGAGGTTAGAAGATAATTTAACAGATTCTTTAACTGTATATTTACTATACTTACTAGTTAAACCTTCTTAATTTATATAACAGACTATTTTGTATAACTTAAAACTAATATAGTTAAGTATAAGTATAACTTAAACTGTAAGTCTAAATATAAGTTAGTCTTTAGAAGTTTATAGAAGTATTCTAACAAAAGGTAACATAATTCTAAAAAAATTAAAGTTGATTCTAGTTACCTTTAACTATTATTCTTAAAAGTCTTAGTTCTTTTGTCTAATAGAAAGAAGCTTGTTTTAAGTTTACTTAACATAGTCTATTAAGAGTATTTTACTTTAAAACTCTTTATAAAACTTATTTAGAGTAATAGACTCAAACTGAGTCTGTTTATATTTATACTATTAGTATAAGTAACTGTTCTAAAAGTATTCTATTATAATTAGAACAGTTTAAGTTAAATTAATTGTCTTTATAACTATATACTCTTAAAATACTAATATTTATAATTAGAGGACTAGTAGTATTAGATTACCTAGTGTTAGTATAAGAGGCTTTATTATATTGTTTTAAACTATTTAAACTATAGTTAGAGTAGTATAGAATATTTTCTATAATAAGTAACTTAAGTTAGATAGTTTATTATTATTATTATTTAACTCTAAATCTTTTAAACTACTCTCTCTATTAGAACTAGAACTAAGAGATAATAGTAGGAGAGTAAGAGAGTAGTAAATAGTGTCTCTAGAAAGGGGAGGTATAGTTATAACTGTATTAAACACTATTTAGTACTAGTATTAGAACTAGATTATAAGTATTTAGAATACAAACAGAACTTGTTTTAAAGTTATAAGTAATAGTTATAGTAAGACTGTAAAAACTTAATAATTGTTTAAAAAGGTAGAATAGTCTTACTAATGTTAGAACTGTGTTTAGAAAGGTTAGTAGAACCTTACTAATATATACTATAATAAAGACTACTTTGTTAATATTAAAAAACAAGTAGAGTAGTATTAATAGAGTATTAAACACTAAGCTTAAAGATTGTAAGACATACAAAGACTGACAGAACAAAAGTATCTTTATTATAGTTAGTAAACAAGAACTTATAATATATAATAAGACATACTTTTATTATAGTTAGTAAATAAGAACTAATATAATAAAAGTGTAAACATAAGCTTTATATATTAGAGAAGAAAGGAAAGTAACTTAGACTAAAGGAATGTATAGTATAAGTAAGAAAGGAAACTATATATATAGTCTAAAAGTATATAAGAGAGTTCTAAAACAGAACTCTTAGAACTCTTAGAACTGTAGTAAACTGTATAGTAAGTTTATAATAAGAAATATATTAGATAGTCATTATTATTCTTTATAATTATAGTATAGACACAATATTTGAAAATTATATAAAAACACATTAGAGTACTATAAGTAAAAAATTGTATTTCTATATAAGTACTAGTTGATTTTTTATTAAGTGTATAATATAAAAAATATATATATTTTAACTAAATTTGTAAATTTACTTTAATAATTTTAATTTAATCAAATTATAACTATTTACAAAGAAACTTAATAATATTGTACATATAATATAGTATAATATTTATAATTTTTCTTAAGAAGAAATGTACTAATTTGTATAAGTTATAAATAAATCTTTAAATCTTAATATATAAGGTAAAAAACTATTAACATAATACATGTATATAGATTACTTTATATTTTAGTTAATTTTTCATATTTTTCTATCTAATGTATACTAATAGAAAGTTATAATGAATAGCTTTCTAACAGTATTTTTTATATTTTCTAGTAATTTGTAGTTATAGAGTTACAAGTAAATTTGCTAAAATTAACTAATTATATTAACAGTTTTTTGTATTACTGCCTTTTTCATAAGTATTGTCACACTTGATGATTTATCATTTTTTGTTACAAAAGTAAACAAAACAAAAAATAGTTATTTCTCACTCAATTCTGTACACACTTTAATTATTAAATTTGAGCAAGATTTGACTGAGTTATAGTAAAAATATACTGTTTTTTATGTTTTCTTAATATTTGAATTTTCATTCCTTCAAAACTCAACATATAAGCTTGGAAAACAGTTTATTATAGTTACATACATTAGTACTTAATAAATATACCTAATTTACTGTGATTTATGTACTTGTTCTGTTTAACTAAGGAGAGACTAAAATGTGTAAAACTAGCTATTTTCCCTCAGTTCCTTCTACACTCAATAATTTTTTTTCAAGCTCAAACTGTATTCCTAAACTATATAGAAGTATAATAGAATAGTTTACAAAAAGTTTTATATTTATATGTTAAGAATTAACCTTAGGAAAAATAAGGGAACAAAAGTATATATAGTAAAAGTCTCTTATTTTTCCTAAGGTT